ACATGATTGATTGCAACTCAAATAACTTATTGTTGTTTTAGGTTTGGGTTGTTTTAAACTTTTGATTGCTATGATATATTGACATAATTAATATGAAAGTTTTGCGCTCCCTTTCAACAATTATATGCATTGTGTTATGCTTGAGCAAAATAGAACTTGAAGAACACATATCAGATTTATGTGGAGAATTAAACACAACATAATTATAACTAAGTTTCTGGTTTCAATATAATTAATGAGCAATAAAACTTACCTAATATCTATAAGTGCAAAAATAGTTGATGGTTTATAACAAATTTCGGGGAGATCCTATGAGCGAGAGTTCTCTTCTAATCATGATTAGATGAAATTTTAAAATAAATTTAAAGAAATCACTTACTTTCATTATAAAAAATGACACATAATGAATAATTGTTTTACTTAGCAAAGTCACTTTTCTCTCACATTAATAGATATCAAATCATCTATATTTGTATAGAAGGTGCATTAAGGATATACACTCTCAAAGTATAAAAGGTCTATGAAAGATACAATCCATTAAAAAATCAAAAAACCCACTTAGATGAGCGCTATATTCTTCCTCTTATGTTAACAGATGTTAGGATAATACCTCGAGTGTATGTTATCATTGGAGAACGAGTATGTATTTCGAGAAGTTCATTTAGAGATATGTGGGAAACACTTACGGGCAGAGCACTTAGGATTCGTTTGGAATAGCTTTCATACTACTTTATAAAACTAAATTTTAGTACAAATGTTTTTGAAAAAAAAAAATTTATGCTAAAACTCTGTTTTATAAAGCAGTAGGAAAGCTGTTCCAAATGAAGCCTTGCTTAGAAAATCTTAAAGTAGGAATTCTCCTGGCCCATAATAAATATGGTGTATTAAACTTTGTTGAAAAATACAATAACTTTCAAATCTATTATGATCTCACTCATGTTCCGGTAATAGAATTTCACTCTCTAAGGTCACTGGCTCTTTGCTCAGTGCGAAACGATATCATGAGACATTTTTCTATAGATACTAAACAATAAAAGGTTGTCATTGCGTTCATTGACTAATTTACCATGTAGGTGAAATTTGAGCCACTCATAAATATTATTAATGAGGCAAATGCTAAGTAACTCATTTGTAAGAATATTATTTCTCCTCGCATTAATAGATATTAGATCATTTGCATACATTAAAAATCAAAATGATGAACTTCAAAGTCGTTGGATTTGCACTGTGATTTGTGTTGTACATGATATGATGAATAGTATTGATCTCAATATAAATCGTTCAGCTTTGAAGTTCATCCTGATATATTTACATCAATATATACTCATACAATTTCTTCTATTGTTATATTCATAAATTTATATGTTCATGATTTATTGACTCTAATCAAAGGTTTGTATGAGTAATAGAAAGACTTTAGTTCTAACAAATGAGGGTCTATGATTTTGTTTTTGAGTGGATAAGTTTTGGTAGCTTATGCTTTTCATCACACTATTGTAGTAAAAAATAGTGCCTAGTTTTTTGTGGTGGAGACATAGATTAAGGTTTTGTTTGGGACGGCTTTTTTATTGCTTTTTAAAACGTAGTTTTAGTACAAAAATAAAAAAATTTATACTAAAACTCCGTTTTAGAAATCAATAAAAAAGTTGTCCCAAACGAAGCCTAAACTGCTTCTTAAAATGGTTTTATAGTATAAATTTTTTAATTTTTGTACTAGAAAGCCGCTTTAAGAAGCATAAAAAAAGTCATCCCAAACGAAGCCTAAGAGCATATGAAAAGCAACCAAATTGGTAACTGCATGCTGCAACTTTCTTTAGCATTCAGTCTAAATGATGATGAAAAGCATAGACGCTCCAAAAAAATTCACAACAAATTGCAAAAAGTATAGCTGGTAATAAAACAATTTCATCAACTAAGTAATTCAAAAGAATAGATTGTTGGTTAGAATTTCAACTCCATGTACAACTATCAAAAGATTTAGGCTTTGTTTGAGACGACTTTTTTATTGTTTCTTGAAGCAATTTTTTAGTTAAAAATTTTAATTTTGACTGAAAAGCTGTTTTAAGAACCAGTAAGAAAATCATCCCAAACATGTCTTAGGCTTTATTTGGGAAAGCCTTCTCATTATTTTTTAAAACGATTTTTTAATACAAATTTTTTTTTTAACTATAAATTTTATATTAAAAAGTTATTTTAGAAAAAAGTAAGGAAGTTGTTCCAAACAAAGCCTTAGGCTTCGTTTGGAACAATTTTTTTATTATTTTTTAGAACAAAATTTTAATACAAAAATTAATTGTTTGTGTTAAAACTCTATTTTAAAAATAATAATAAAAAAATCGTCTCAAATGAAGCCTTAAGACTACGATAGTTTGATAATCAATGGGCATTAACTTAAATTTTTTTTGAAATAATGAGTAGCTAAAAATAATAAAATGGAGTATTATAACTAGAAAAAGAAAATAAAAAAATGGCATAGCGAAAGGAGGAACTTGAAAGGGAGATGAGGCAAATAAGCTGCCTGCATTTGAGTTGAAGAGAAGGAGCGCGGGCCGACAAGAGCTTAGCTAAGAGCAAAGACAATGGATTTTTGGGCCCTTGGAGGGCTATTTCATGTTCTATTT